ACTGCAAGTTTTGCAAAATTAATAAAAAATGACATTAGTGTCAAAATCAAAACAAAAAATTGGAACAAACTTGTTTGACTTATAATCTTATCAAATTTTGTTCATTCATAAATCCAAATCAAAGTACCGGTACTGTACAAGTTCATTACACGAAACAACAGGAAAAATTAATACCTACACAATATTGAATAAAAAATTAAGGAATGTTTTGATAAGCTTAAAACAGAAGGTAAAAGGCAAACTGTTACATAAAGTATCAGTACATACACAGTACAAATAAGGGTCTAAAGCAAACTAATTACACAAAAATAGACACCTTCTTCTAAGACCAAGCCACAAATGTGAAAATAAAAATCATTTCAGTTCATCATATCTACAAACAGGAAATTGTGGAATATAGTATAATCATATTTTACAGCCAACTTAAACATGCGTATAGGTTTTACAGATCGACAAAAGAGAGCAGATGTAAAAAAAATTCCATTTGCACCTTTTTAAAAACCAATTAAAAAGGCAGAGAATATGAAGGAATATCAGCACAACCTTAATTAGGACAAAAATATCCAAACAAAGACATTTGACCTTGCTACAGAATTTCATCACAGGCAGAAAATAAAACAGGTATTTAAAATACAGGGAAACAGCAATCAGAAAAGTTAATTAGAGGGATAGTAATCTCTTAAACAGCAGGTGCAATAAAATGAAGATTGTATTTGCTCAGGATTTCATAACAAAAAATTTCATCTTCTGTATCCTCAGGAGAAGTTTCATCAGGCTTGTATCTGAAAGAAAAAATTTAATTAGATTAAAATTGATAATTGAATAAGATTTATGAGACTACCAAGCTTACCCATTTTTCTTAAAGAAAGTCTTTCCAGGGTGGTTGTGCTTAAAAACAGTTAACATTGTCTTTTTCATGTTGTAGTGTACTGTTAGGGCTTCTAAAACTCCGAGCATAAAACACGTAATCACGTAATCACCAAATCCGTGCAACATATCCATACCGGCCCGGGCCTGATGTCCTTCCGATAAGAATCGAAAAGGCAGGAGAAGGTTATCGCTCACGTGCGGGCCATTGGGCGCCTATCCCAACAAAAAATTAAGGGAGATGCATATGACATGAAGCTTATCGCCCCGCACCTCATCCATGCCTCATCATTTTCATGCATATTTTTTTTCGACGCGTGCCTAACCATATTCCGCGTAGGGATTTATCATGTTTCATCGGGACGAAAGGGGGCTATCATTCATAGGGGTATTGCCGGCGGGGGCCCGACTCATCCCATCGAAATAAATGACGGATAATTATCGTTTGCAGCGTTTCGATCGTTATGAATGCAAACAGGAGCAAACAACAAGCAGCGAGGCGGAGCGGAAGCGGGGGGCGGGGC